CCCAGATGGCCCGGGGACAGGGCCCCGAGTGGGGACAGCGCCCCAAAGATGTGGGGATGGCACCCAGATGGCCCGGGGACAGGGCCCCGAGTGGGGACAGCGCCCCAAAGATGTGGGGATGGCACCCCGATGGCCTGGGGACAGGGCCCTGAGCGGGGACAGTGCCCCAAAGACACGGGGATGGCGCCCTGATGGCCTGGGGACAGGGCCCCGAGCGGGGACAGCACCCCAAAGACATGGGGACAGCACCTGATGGCCTGGGGACAGGGCCCCAAGCGGGGACAGCACCCCAAAGACGTGGGGACAGCACCCGATGGCCTGGGGACAGGCCCAGAGATGGTGCCCCAAAGACCCAGGGACGAGGCTGAGCGCCCCGAGACCCAGGGACAGGGCCCCAGAGACCTGGGGACAAGGGCCTGAGCCAGGACAGTGCCCACAGACCCAGGGACAGAGCCCCCATGACCCAGGGACAGAGCCCCCATGAGCTGGGGACAAGGCCCCGAGCAGGGTCAGCACCCCAAAGACCTGGGGACAAGGCCCCAGTGACCCAGTTCCGTGTCCCAGTGACCCAGGGACAGTGCCCCAGCCTGGGGACAGCGCCCGACCACGGACAGCACCCGGTGACTGGGGACAGTGTGCTGGTGCAGGACAGAGCCCTGGTCAGGGACAGCGCCCCAGCGTCCTGGGGACAGAGCCTGGTGACACTTGGGCACTGTCCTGCTGGGAACTGCCCCCTAAGCAGGGTCTGTGTCCCGGCGCCCAGGGGACAGCGTCCCATCAGGGACAGCACCCCAAGCCTGGGACAGGGCCCCAGCCGTGGCCAGCCCCCCAAGGGGCCCTTGTAGACATGGGGGGACACCCCAGGGACCCCAGGACAGCACCCCACGGACCTGGGGACAGCGTCCCAACACAGGGACAGGTCCCCAACTGGGGACAGTGCCCCAGCACCACAGGGACTGCATCCCAACCCAGGGACAGAGCCCACGAGGGACTGGCACCCCAATGAGGGGCTGGCACCCCTGCATGGGGACAGCACAGCAGCATGGGGACGGCACCCCGCCCTGCTCCCAGCGCACTGGGGACGCAGCCCACCCCTTGCGGCCGCCCCCCCCGACCCCTTTCTTCCCGTTACAGATAAAATGCTTCTTGGATTTCAAGGCGGGAGGAGCCCTGTGCCACATCCTGGCAGCGGCCTATAAATTCAAGAGTGACCAAGGATGGTGAGTGCCTGCCTGCGCCTGTTGGGGTTTT